GGACGCGACGCCCCATTTCGTGGACCATTCTTCGCAGCGGCATTTGCACGGCGGCGGAATAGGGCGAGGGGGGCCGGGTGATGTGGCTAGCCCTAGCGGTGTCATATTTTTTTATGTGCCGCCCATCGGAAATCTTCGCGTATAGCAACGGTAAGATTCACAAAGGAGTTCGGGATTACGCGCGGCAATGTGGCGTTTTGGAAAGGGGAGGTGCAACTCCTTCCTCCGGCTTTGTGGCGGTGTGCGGATAGAGTAGAGGTACTGTTCGAGGCGTCAAAAGGAAATGATGACGAGGCAGTGGTGTCGCGTGTTAAGACGTGCCCGGGGTTCGCTAAGTTCGATTGGGAGTGGGACGGGACCGGTGATGATGTACCGGCGGGGATGGTGGGCATAGGCGGGTTCGAAGTTTTGCTGGAATTGATGTGCTGCTATCCGCAGCTCGATGAGATGGCACCCATTGCTGCTTACCCTTCTGGTAAGGTTTGGAAGGTTTGGACGTGTGGTCAATCGTCGACAGCTTTGCGCGCTCTCGTGGCTGGTCAAGGATTGAAACCGGAAGAGTATGCGCCGCATTCCGGCAGGATAGGGGGCGCGACTAGGTTGGGGGCGATGGGGTTGTCTTCGTGGGCAATTCAACAACAAGGGAGGTGGAAGTCGGACGCGTTTCAATCGTACTTGCGGGCCAATTTGGATGATGTTCAGAAGGCGTCCTTTGCGCTAGCGTCGGACGCTGTAGGGAAGGGGATCCAGCCCGGGCAACTGACGCGGTGGAAGGGTGCACGACCTAAGCCGAAGTAGCGTCTCGGGATTTAATTTCGTGTTTAGGTCATTTGGTCTGTTCAGAGGTGGCACTGCTGTACGTGGTATATTTTTCTTTCGAAGTCTGAGCGGCGTGCTATTAGTCGCTCTTGATCTAGGAGGCAACAATTTATGGTCATGGTGGATGATAAGGTGGGGATGGGGGGCGCGAAAGGGAGTCTGCAGGTGGAGGTAGGGGGGAGGGGGGGGGTATGTTTGGTGAAGGGATGGAAGCAATCGGGGGTAGGGCGCAGACGCATGGGAAAGGGAAAAAAAGCAGGCTGTTAAAGTGGGGTAGCGAGATGAGGTGTGACAGCCTGCCTAGGTTTACGTCTGTGTGTGGTGTTTGTATGACGAACCCGGGCAAGATTTGGCGTGGGGTTAGCCCGGGTGACGTGATGAAGTCGTGGGGGTCCACGACTCAAAAATAATAATAACTCCAGATTCATGAGCATAACAAAGTGTGAGATTGAACAAAGGAAATCTGGGGTTTGTGGCGCGGGACTGAATCGTACAGTGCTGTGAGCGCTGATTTGAAGTGAAGAACAAAAAAAAAAAAAAGGTAGGCAAGAAATTGCGGGGAAGTTTCATCGGGAGATTGGATGAGCATGGTGATGACGTATTGGAGTACAACTTGAGCAGCTGCAGCAAGAAGCAATAAGAAGAGTGCACACTGCAGCTGCTCCTGTGAGACGAAGGGACGATCTGCCGTAGAGGTCATTGTGTGTGGGCTCCGGCTAGGTGATTGGCCGGAAAACCCGCCCGCCCTCCCTCCCTGGTTTTCGTGAAGGGGGCCAGGGGTAGCGAGATGAGGTGTGACAGCCTGCCTAGGTTTACGTCTGTGTGTGGTGTATGTATGAGGAACCCGGGCAAGATTTGGCGTGGGGTACGCCCCGGTGACGTGAAGTCGTGGGGGTCCACGACTCAAAAAAAATAGTAACTCCAGATTCAATGAGCATAACAAAATGAGAAAGAGCGAGGACAAAAAGGGACCAGGGGGAAAATAACAAGAAATAAGAGGCAGAAACAGGCACACTGTGGAGAGACCACTAACGAACACGCAAACATGGCCACCAACCAGCGATACATTGTAATGGTACGTCATCACTACTGGGGGTTTTCCAACGTATTTTCAGTGTGGTACGCGTATGTGGTATGCACATGTGCAGACACATTTCGGAGTATGTGCGGACACACGGGAGTGGTCTCACCATTTTCTTACCGTTTAGTTTGATTGTCATCAATTTTTATTGTTCTTCGGCGCTCCCACACAGCATTCACGGCATTTCTGCCGCCGGGTAGGAGGCAGGAGCGCCAATCCGTGGTCACACAGAATGCTTTCCTCCCCCTGAACCCCCCTCCTGCTGTGCTTTCCTTCGATTGTTGACGCGACGACAAGAGCGCAGCACCCTCCAACACGCTTATACTAGCCTTGCTTTCTTGTACCTCACTGGTTTCTAACGAACGTACGAGGGTCCTATGAGTGCAACACGAAAAATCAACGACATACGCAGGCCTCCGACAAGGAGTCGCAATACGACAACAGCGGCGGCGGCGGCGCTTTCACGCCCGTTCGTTTGTAGAAGTTCAAGTGGTAAACCCAGCCGCACCATCGGTCGGTATGTCTTCATCAAATCACCCGGCTGGGGGTTGATTATTGATCAAGGAAATAAAAATGCACGCACAGAAAGACTACACATCGGTTGAAATTGATTGTTGAATGCTTGCTGGGGCCTCCCTCCAGGTGTGTGCAAAAAAAAGAGCGGTTATAGGGCGTACCATTTTTTCGAGTGCGACCTTGCCGCTCCAAATCGAGGCGAGCGGCCAAGATGCACATTTTCGCTGGGAAGGAGACGGCTGGACTGTTGTGTACGTCCCTCGGCATCGCCTGGGTACACCCGGCACGGAAATAAAAGCTTCGCACACAAGTTCTGGACGGAATGTCGAGAGCCGGTGGAATCAAGTCATCAATACATTTCCATGTCAAGGAGTGAACGAATGTTGTACCTCATCACAGGAACATGAAAGGGTGGAAATCCGTCACCGTGCACACCGCAACACACACCTCCAACACCGCACGCAGTACACCGCTCAAAGACGCGAAGGCCGTCAGACAAACCTTACTTTCTGCTGACGATACATCGGTGAAACAACAGAGAGAGAGAGAGCGACAGGCGAACTCGACACAACCGGCTCCCGCTGCGCGTGGGGAAATCGAATCGATGTCAAAACACAGCACAAGAGGACTCACTGACGCATGAACAGGCATACCTGGTAGTCGAAGCTTGCATCCGTTGAGGCAGTGCACTCGCTGCCCTGGCCCAGCGCACTTCCCAGGACGCACCCAGCAGCCACAAGGCCGAACGCCTTGCTGCCGGCCCTCATGTAACTGACTCGCCGAAGGAGACAGAGAAAAACTTCCGAAGAGAACCCAGACAGCCAGCTGCTGACTGCTGACAGATGAGTTTTATTTCCCGACTTTGCTTGTGGAATTGACGATCGATGTACTACTGCTGTAAGCACCTCTCTGGTAGCTGGCTCTCTTGGAAAAGGGCGTGACGTCCTTTGCGGCGCTGGTGCGTGAGACAGGGAACAGAGACCACCGCCGTGTCACCTGTAGGGTTAGACGGCCCAAAGGGCAATTTGTCAACCTACCGAATGCGGCGTATTTTAGCGAAAAGCTGGAAGATTGCTATTTTGGGGGATCGGTGGGGGGGGCCCGTGTACATGAAAACATTATTATTTCTTTGAGTTGAAGGCTTGAGGCTTGGGATGTGCGTGGGAGTCACATTGCGTAGAGGCATGCAGGCATCCAGCAATCGTTTAGTCCGGCAAGGGGGGCAATACTACTTCCTTCCGTCCTCGTAATGCCTGAGGGTTGTCGTTGTTGTTGTCTTCACATTAAAAACCGTTCCGATCTCTCTCTACCAAAGGGTGTCCCTATAGATCGCTGTCTGTCGTGGAAAAACTCCAGGAAAAATCCCCGCCACAAAAAATGTATCTACATCCAATAGGTCGCGCGTTTGTTGGAAAGCGAACGCAAGAGCAGACGGACGAGGTTCGAGTAACTTCCGCAGAGAACCCAGACAGCCAGCTGCTGACTGCTGACAGATGAGTTTTATTTCCCGACTTTGCTTGTGGAATTGACGATCGATGTACTGCTGTAAGCACCTCTCTGGTAGCTGGCTCTCTTGGAAAAGGGCGCGACGTCCTTTGCGGCGCTGGTGCATGAGATAGGGAACAGAGACCACCGCCGTGTTACCTGTAGGGTTAGACGGCCCAAAGGGCAATTTGTCAACCTACCGAATGCGGCGTTTTATGTTTGCTCAAGAATTCTGGATTATTTTTCTGCACCCAACCAAAGAAAAAAAACCAAGACACATGAAACAAATTGAGAGCGCAGGTAAAATGCCGTCTTGCTCCTAACGTTTTCTTATCGGACTAACCCGTTGCAAACTTCCCAAGACTGCCCTACTATCATTACTATTGTTTCGGCCTCTGGCCTATACATATCTTACTCATAATAAACTACCTACACTTTGTACCTAGTCGTCGACCGACTGACCCCCCCCATGCTCCCCCCTTTCTTGAGCGATAGGTGTGGGTGGGCGGGAAATCGATCAAATCCTAGGCGGCACCCCGTGTTTGCTGCGATCTCTGCTACCCCTCTTCTCTCTCAAATGCACTTGTTTGTCTCTCGCCCAGCGAGAGCACAAAAAACTTTCTGACACCAAGGCTGTCTCTATTTTTCTTCGATCCCCGCTTTTCCGAATTCCAACACGCCTCCACAAACCACAGATTCAAATTCGTACTGAATCTTCACGTTTATGTTTGCTCAAGAATTCTGGATTATTTTTTCTGCAGGCAACCAAAGAAAAACCAAGTCACATGAAACAAATTGAGAGCGCAGGTAAAATGCCGTCTTGCTCCCAACGTTTTCTTATCGGACTAACCCGTTGCAAACTTCCCAAGATTGCCCTACTGTCATTACTATTGTTTCGGCCTCTGGCCTAAACATATCTTACTCCAGTAGGCATGTCCGATGACCTACTCCTCCGAACCGCTCCCTAGTCACTCCTCGGGTTCCGTAAGGGCCTGAGACACGAACTTTGCTCCTTCATCCCCAGCCCTATTAGTCTACAGCAACACTCCGAACATTCATGGCATCGACATCGTCAGTCAATCATACACGGCGCTGTATCTCAATCCGATTTATCTGCCCCGTCCAAAGCAGCAGCATCGCCGCTCCCCGCCCCGCGCCCGGCGTCGGGACCCGGCGGCCGTCGAGCGGCCCACAACGCTCCAAGCTCCCTCAAAAACGCCCCCTCACACTTGACGAAAACCGCGGCCGTAACCAAAAAGCACACCAACCCAACGCCGACGTGCTTGGCCGCGTCCAACGGTGCGCCACCGTTACCGCCAGCGACATGACGAGCGGCAGGTGACGTGGCGTATGCCGCGGCAGAGGACAAGGCCATGATGGAAACCACGCCGGGGTGCGGGACAGCGCCGGTCACGACCTCTCTCCACAGATTCCTTTTCGTGGCCGTTTTTTTTCGCCGTTCGCCGCCGTTCGGGGGCGCACGGGAAGGTTCCGAGGGGGACCGGTGAGGGCTGCCGCTTGGGCTGAGCCTACTGCTTTCGCCGCTTGCCGCGCGGTCGCCAACCGCCGCTGGCTTCAACGAAGGTGTCGCCGGAGTCGTGCGCCGTAAAAAGAAGCGACGGATGAAAAGCCCGCTGCATATCACTCGGCAAGCCATCCCCGCGGCGTTCGCCATCACCAGGCCTCGCGTTCCGAACCTTAGGCCGCGCGGGGGAGGAAATAAGTCAAGGTCAAGCCTCTTTAGGCCGGTAAGGGGATGAACGCCGACTGCAATTGAACAAATATGCACATGTAGCAACCTTTCAGTTTTGATAATCTAGTTGTGTCCAATGGCAGGACTTGGAACACCAAAAGTAAACTTAAGGATACCCCTGTCATGCTTATCCTGCCATGGCCTTGCCAAGGATAACCGTGCCCCAGTTAGCACTTCTAGCGAAACATTGCGGGTCGCAGGGTCCACGCTCATCGCCAAATCATATGCGAAAACAACCAGAAAAAAACACAGCCTTTTTCACTTTTCACCCCGTGGGTGAAACGAACAGCCTGAGACATTCTCAACAGCAGCGTGCTTACCACCCATTGGTCGGGCGCAATAGATTCCCCACTACAGGAAAATTCTTCAGCACAGCAGCCGCAACACAACACATTGTTGACCTGACAAAGTCATACCTGCCCGTGAGGGGTCCCACAAGCACCCAGAACGCGGCGAACGACGCGACAAGGCCGGCACCCATCCCGGTGAGCTGACCCCCTTGCGCGACAGCGCAAGCAAACGCCTCGCACATGCCGTTGGCAGCGAGGAACAGGACGTATACGCAGTACCACGACAGAACTCGCGCCACCTCTGAAACGGCACTAAACCCGCCGCCGCCGCCCTTGCCCGCCAGGAGCAAGCGTAGCAGAGTCTCGGTGTAGTGGAAGCCGAAGCAGACGAACACGAGGCCCGCCATCAGCACGAGCTTGAGCAAGGTTGCCAGAAGGGAAGCCATCTTCGCTCGCAACCTTAACTTTCCATTCGCCGCACCATCGGTGCTGTCTCCTTCCTGACCATAGCCGCCACCGCCATCCTGGCGTCCCTGCCCCCCCCCCCTCCCCAACGACGAATGCGTCGCCCCCATTGTCAGCGCCTTGCTTGTTGCAGTCACAGCAGGTGGCACCGCACCCTGCCGGCTTTCCCCTGCCTCTGCCCCGAGCTTGCTGAACATCAGGCGCGCCGCCTCCTCCAGGGGCTGAAACAACAGCCTTGCGGCCAGCGACCCGTACCCGCTAGCGATCGCGTACACCCCCTGCTCGTAGAGAGTCCCACCCTGGCTGCAACCGCCCCCGCTATGGCGGTGACACCCATGCTCCGAGGAGGTCGCCCTAGCGAGCACGATCTTGTCCCCCTCGGTCAGGACGTGCTTCAGCAGCGACTGTCCGGCCAGCGCCCACGCCAGCCTGAGCTTCCCACTGTCTACTAGACCCGATTCGTCGCTATCGTCGTCTCGGATTGGTCGACTCGGCAGCCACCCCCGCACTCGCGCGAAGCCTTCGTCGTCGCCGCCGTCTTGTGCGAGTGGCCGCGCTGTGCCTGGTGGTTGTCCCGTCGCGGCTACGAGCGTTGACGGCGGCGGTGGCGGCAGGGTCGTTTCTGCTCCTGCTCTAGCTCGCGCCACGTCCTTCACCGCGAAAAGGACGTACCATGTAAAGAGGGTCACGGAGTGGAACAGCTGCGCGTAGCCGAAAGAGAGGACTCCCATGCCGGCCCGCGTCACGAGGAGGTATCTAGAAACCCCGAGCACAAGAACGGCGGCCGCCTCTGCCCTGACTGCGGCGGAGATGTCACCGTACGTGTCATCGGAGGGAGGGAGGGAGGGAGGGAGGGAGGGAGGGAGGGAGGGGGGGGGAGGTGACAGCAAACCAAGGGTGGAGGGTGAGGTTCGTCCTTGAGGGGAGAGGAAGGGAACTGGCATCGCCAAGCCTACGGTACACCGCCGGTCACCTTTGCAAGTTAACGAACAGAGTATTTTGTACCGCCGCAGTAGCTGCCTACGTGAAAGCAGGACCAGCATGGGGTATCGGGTGGAGCGTTTGCTGATGCGGGAGAGACAGCTACAAGCGGTCGGGACACTGTCCCAAGTGCCGTCCCATGCGTCATTAAAAGATGCACATCGAAGCGGCTTCTAGAAGATCAAATGCCAAAAGGTAGCTGGTCTATCATCGGACGCTTGTACCTCGTGAAAGCTGCCTATCATGCATACCTCGGACGTCGACGAGCAATCGGTATTGGAAGATTAGAGCCAGTGGCTCGCACATCAACTCCACGGCTGCGGCAAGACAAACAAGCGATGCAGCCTGTCACGGGCGAGAAAGAAAAGGGCGATTCCAGTCAGGATTCCTTGGTGGTGATACTACTAAAGCAGGCCGGGAAAATCAATCGAGTGGAGCAGGGCGTTCATATCCTGAAAGCGATGACAACAACAGCGAAAACAATCGTCAACCACGGCGTTCAAAAACCATAACGGATCGCATGCACACAGTACGCCACCGAGGCTCGCCTTCGAGGGCAAGATAGCGTGCTAAGTATAGAGCTCGACAATAGCCGTCACTGGAAACGCGGATGCCGTACAAGTGGTAGCACCGCACGATGAATAGCGGTGCCCGAAGCCCCTAGCAAGCACAAGCCAACGTGGCGGCAACTCGCTTGGCGCTTTGGCGTGGCCAGCCATCTTCAAGCCCAATCCTCTCCAAAGGGACGGCGAAACGTCGCACGGCTGGCTTGCAGCGGCTGTCTAATGCACAGTAGAATAAGCGGTCTGCATCAGGGCAGGCCCCTGGATAGCGAAACCAGATGCTTCGGGGAGACCGACCTCCACGGGTTACTGACCAAGGCAAAAACGTTGCCACACGCACTGTTGACGTGTTGTTCCACGAATGACTCCGAGAGAACTCATCCAACAAGGTACCTGCCGGTTCTCCTCAACGCCTTGGAAGTCGTCGTTGCGGATAACCCACGGGTACGCCAACCGCACGAGCCCCGCGAACGCCAGCCCTACCGGGGCGGATATCCAAGCGGTGTTGACAAAGCGCCGACGGTACGCCTCTCGCCGCCGCCGCCGCCGCCGCGCCCGCTCCCTTTCCCCCGTCAGCTGCTGCCCCGGGGCGACACCCTTGTTGCCCCCTGCCACCCACGTCTTTTCGTCAGCGATTGGCACCTTCGACCGCGCCAGGGCGACTCGAAACGGCTCTCTCGCGAGGAAAAGAGCCGTTGAGGAGATGAGGTCGAGGGTTATTGCCGCTGCTCCGTACTCTTCGAGGGCGGAGTTGCGAGGCTGGCGAGTGTCGGAGGCTGCCGCCGAGAGCATCGCTCGCTGAAGCAGGACGTTCAGGACGAACGTCGATGCACGCTGCGAAAAGAAGGGGACGGGATTGGAACGCGGTGGTGGCTACTATGAAGAAGGCTTCTTGAGTGTGCTCCTGGGAAGTTGACTTTTCAGACAGAAATACTCCTGTAATCAGGGGGGGGGGTCCTACAAAAAGTGAAGTGCTAACGCTTTGCGCGGACTCGAAAGGGCTTGGAAGGATGCGCAGCGACAATGTTGCCACGCCACATGGAATGAGGCGTTGAAGGTTGGTTCGATTAAACGCGCCGCCCAGCTAGCTGGCGTGCAGCAGGAGAGCTGGGCGTAGGTTCGATGGATGCGCTGCTCATCACACCCAGATTCTCCCCACAGCAGCCAATTCGAATGCATTGAGCAGCTGGGTGCGTGCATTAGAGCAAATCACCTGAACGAAAGCTAGCAACATAAGAAGAGACCCCCCACGCACGGCTGCGCCGACAACCGCGTCTGCAGCAGCAGCCTCCGAGCCGGGACGGTCAGCAAAGCTGGCGTCCGGGTCGTTCCTGTGTTGAGTATGATCGACATCATCTCGCCCGGATCGGGTTGTTGCTCCAGTTCTCTCCGTTCTATCGCCGGCGGCAGTGTCATCATCTCTCGGTTTCCGCCGTCTTAATTCCATCGCGGCCACACCATACACACACGCAACCCCGCTTCACTACCCTGAATCCTTTTGGATGCCCCTGATGATGGATCTGCGCGGGCGCGGCCGGAGAACCGGAGACCGAGATGCGGTCGAATTAGGGGGCTCCGCAGAATCTTTGAGTATATAGCGGAGAGCTCCGCCGGCGTCCTGTTCTCCTGCCAGAAGGGTGCTGCCCTGGTCTCTGCTCCTTGCTCTGTACAGCAACGCTCTGCGCTCTCGGCGAGCTGCACACACAATGGTGCTTCGACATCCTGCATGTCTTGGCTCGGTGGTCTTGTTGGCGTTGGGCCTGACGCCCACGGCGGGTCGCGTTTCTCCTCGGTTGTTGGCGCTTGGCAGCAGCTTCTCTGGCAGGCATGAGAATGGAAAACAACGGCAGCAACCGGAGCAGGAGAGCTTGCAGCAGCGAGCCGCGGCTCTGCGGCTGGGTGGAGATCGACAATCCTTCTTGGCGCATAGCGGAAACGGTCGGAAGGGCGCATGGGGACTGACAGTGGTACGTAAAGGCCTTGGATGAACTGGATGTGGTAGCTTCCCCGGTGCATGCGTCGCTAGAGTGATGTACCACCGCCGCTGGTGGATCAGGTTGATGGCGGTCACCAACCACGCGAGCAATGTTAGAGCGGTACAGGGTGGCTCTGGTTGACTGCCTGTCAGAGCTACGTAGAATGGAAACCAGTTCGGTCAAGTGGGATTGTACTTCAATGTATAATCGGAACAAGCCAAGGGGCGGTCCGGGCTATCCTTGATCATGATGCTCTCATCGGGTGCCGACAGCAGCGAAACATGAACCTGCTCTTGATCTTATCTGGTACTCAAGGTCGTGGCTGGCTTCCTCACATCCTCCTTTTCCCACTTGCATCTCACCAAGATGCGGTAGTTTGCTTGGCAAAAACTGCTTTGTATCTGCTGTAGCCGACATCCTAACAACTACCACCCCCTTGTAGCCGTGCTTCTTGGAAAAGAGTTCTATTGCGAAGTCACACCATCTACACGTGTCGCACGCTCACGAAACCTTGGGTCGGTAAGTCGACGCCTATCCTGCGTTGCATGAACGGTATATATTGGATGCTGCTGTGATGATGCCGTGCCTCAGGCGATGCGTTTCACGCTTGGGTAGGGGTGTCTGCTGCCCTGGCCATGAGTCGACCATGTCTCAAGTGACGGGATTAAAAGAGATTTGATGGTTTTGTAGACTACAGCAGTATGCGCAACTCCCATACCCTTGTGGTGTTGGTGTGCACACACTTTCACGGTTCGCAGCCACCTACAGCACACGCAAGAGGCCATGCCATCCAGACATACCGTTGCTACGGAAGTAAATCACTTCGAACCTGACCCTTGTGGATCTCGGGACCAGGCAAGCGGGCTTCGGGGCGGGGCAGATGATGAGGATAGTGACGACGAAGACTACGATGACGATGAGGAGGAGGAGGAGGATTTCGGGGAGGCGAGCTTCGTTGACCGGCTGAAGCAAGACTGGAAGAAGACGCCCGTCATCACCCGGGCGTATTTTCAGGTACTGTGTCTGTCTACAGCGCCACGCGCGCAGCATCAAAACGCTGCTTAGTTCTTCTCCTGACTTGGCATACGTAGGTGATATGACATGGGCGAGGGCGAGCGGTACAAGTTGGATTCAGCTGCTGCTGGTGAAGAAGAAGGTCCAAAACCTGGACCGTACCCGAAGTCCTTTAGAACTCCGTCGAAGGTCCAACCGCGGCATTTTTCAAACGCGCTAGATTTAAGCTGTGTTGCTGCTGCTCCGAGGACCCTCACTCCACCTGCAACTCAGACTTCCTTTTGAGATTGCCCACGCAGCCACGAGGGCGAGCAAGCCACGACGGTCACGTCTTTTGCCATGTCCGAATCGGACCCGCCGTTCCAGGTGAGCGTTGCCATCACCTTGGCCGCAGCCGCGTTGAACGAGAACCAATGGCCGACTTTCCTGCTTCTCGACTGGCGGCCGGCCATCTTCAAGCTGCAGCTGTGGCGGCTGTTCACGCCGTTCCTGAACCTGGGGCCGCTGGGCCTGAACTTCGCGCTGACCGCTCACTTCGCGTGGACGTACATGAGCCACCTCGAGAAGCTCCACTACCGGGAGCCGCACACCTTCGTCATGCTCCTCGCCTTCGGCATGAGCAGGTACAGAGCGGTATCGCCAGACTGAAGAACTAGCATGGGTGCCGCCCTCACGCCCTCCCCGCCGGGAATCAACTTGATGGAGGCACATGTCTTGAAGCAAATTAGTTCGATGTCTATTCAAGCGGTATTGTTTCGTGCCATCGCGAACCTGTTTTGAGTCTTCTTCACCCGCCATTGCCGTGGAACATTCGCGTCTGGAAGGAGCGATAACTTTGTCGTCGCGGTATTCGGCGCGGCTTTGGCCCTTGCAGCTCTCGCCGTCTGCACTGAGCAGTATCGGAACCGACAACCGTGCCGACACAGCATACGTCTGTGTGCCGCGCCATGGAGCGCGTTGTTAAGATAGGCTGCCGCTGACTGCGTAGTAATCGTTAAACCTAGCGGCGTCGCGAACGCGTCATACCCGTGTAGACCTACCTGTATACGCGTGAGGGCATTGTCTGCCGGCAGGAATGATTCGACTTCACGCGGTCTTGTGGCTTCCTCTCTTGAGAATAAGCTTTCAGTTTTTTAGCGATGAAGGTCTGCACATGTATCGCGCTGAGCTTGCAGTCGACTTCTACCCGCTCAAGGCCCCGATCACGCTTTTGTGCCGCCCGCTTGCCCGTCTGATTCAAACGGCAGCCTGCTATTGCTAACGTTGGTGACGGGTGGTGATGTGAACTCGAGCTACACCCTGGGACACAGCATGAACTGTTTCCTGGTGATGATCTGGAGTCGCAAGTTCGCGGGCACTCGGGTAAGGGAGGGGCCGACGGCGACGTCTAGTGGAGCCATGCTGCAGCACGCGCTAAAGCTTTCTCAATTTTCGAGTAGCGTTGTTGCCTTTTTGCAGCGTCTTTGTTCCCCCTGACGACAATACAAATTGTTTTTTCCTTGCAAGGTGATCGTGCCCCAAAGTTCCACATGTTGTTTCTATATCGAGATGAGTAGAGCTTGCAGCTGGCCACCATTTGGATGTTGAGACGGACTACGCCGACATCCGCACTCTTTTCTACGCGACCCAATTGTACCCAATTGTCGACCATTGCTGTTGTCTTGCCAAGCCCCGCTGCGCGTAAGGTGCAAGGAACTACTGCTGTGGCCCTCGAAACACTAACCGAACTTCCCTTGCAACCGACACACCAGGTGAACATGCTGGACATGTTCGAGCTGCCGACCGAGCTGCTACCGTACTTCTTCGTGGCGCAGACGCTTATGATGGAGGGCGTTATCCCGTGGGTAGACCTGAGTGGGATTCTCATCGGCTACGCTTGGCAGGTATAATCTACAGCATGCGTGACTAAAAGTCGATGGAGGGGTTATTCTCCCGTCCGCCGCACTTCTTCGCTGCCAGCATCCGTCTACTCAAAGCTTTCTTTTCTTCTGGTATGCCACCACTTTTTCTGCTGTGAGCAAGCGTTTGTCGAGGTGCAAGTGGTTCCTGCAACATGCGTAGCAACGAGGTAAAGATTTAGTTCCGTGTCCATCTCTAATTGTTCCAAGCTTTCTCGGTTTATTGCCGTTCTGTGTCATACGGAATGTCCGCGCCATCTCCTTTTTCTCCCAGGCGCCCAAAGAGCGGACGCTGCCGTTTGTGTTGTGACTGCACTTGTTTCCCCCTACTTTCCAGACTCTGTCCCTCAAGGGCCTCCTGAAGGCTCCCAAGCCCCTGGTGAACCTCTTCAGGAACAACGCCTTCTTGCGGGCCGAGTACGCCAAGGCCGGCAAGGAGTACGGGCAGGACGTGCCGTTGCACGACGACGACGACGACCACGAAGAAGACGACGACAGCGACGCCACCCTCGATGAGGCGAGCGAAGGCTCGAAGAAGGGGGAGGCCGCGGGGAGGACGGGCAAGGGAGCAGCGGGGAAGCGGGCCGCGGCGGCGACGGACCGACAGGCATCGTCCGATGCGGCGAGAAAAGCGGCCAGGGGGGAGGGTGCAGGGAAGGCGGCGGAGCCCGTGCCCGACGAGGAGGTTAGCGACGATTCGGGGACCAAGGAGAGTCAAGCGGCGGAGGGGGGACGCGGAGGGGAGTACGTGAGCGGGGAAGAGAGCGAGGAGCTGGCGGACGTGAAAGAGTTCGACGAGGAGGCCGAGAGCATGCTCGAGGAGTTCGAAGGCGACCTCGACACCGCCCAAGACTTTTCCGACTCGTCCGAGGAGGAGGACTCGGACTCGGACGATTTCTAGTGCTAACGCTCTTGCAAAAGTGGGCGCGCTCCAAGGGAGCGAAGGGGTTTCTATAGGCGATGCGGCGTTTCTCCAGCCGGGTTGTCTAATTTTTGGTCGCGCGGGATGTCTGCAAGCCCTAGCCGGTGACGCGAAGCCGTAGTGGTTCGCGGGTTTGCAGAAACGCGGGTTGCTTTGGTCGAAGATGGTGGGTGGGCTGGGGCTATTAGACCCCCCGACCGTAGTGGTCGTATTGATCGGGATCGTCGACGTAGTTTGCTGTGTGGGTTGACTGGGCTGTCGACCCAGAGGTGCCTCCTTGTGACGCTTCATTTAGAAAAAAAAACAAAAAGAGGCTCATGTTTCCATGAGCAATTTTTTGCAGGGGAGCTCGAAGAACGTGAACGGTAACAACGGTCGGAGATATTGCCGTGCACGGGGCCAACTTTTTTAATCGTTATCGTAAACTACCGAGCGTAAAACCATCCGTTGTGAGTTGTACCCTTGCCCTTACGAGATAATTGCGGTAATTCGCCCATGCGCCACCCGCACCAACCAGGAGGACAAGAGGTGGAACACCAAGCGTGTGTTCACCACATAATGCCGGGCTTGACGATGAGGTGAACAATATTACGGTAGTTAATTTGCTCCCTGAATGCCGGGAGACGAGCGTATTTCCGCCGAAAAGCCCAACTGGGCACTCATTCGAGGCCAAAATACGCTCAGCCAACGGCAAGGGCACGACAACATCACTGCAGACGGGGACGAATTTTGAATCACTTTACGTCTCAAGCCATGGCTAGAGTACCCTCTGCGACACAAGAGGCATATTTACAATAACTCCCACAGTTCCTGCTACCAAGCACAGCAGTCGCCGCACTGCTGTATTGTCGTGTTCCTTCATGCGGCCTTCTTTCTCGCAAGGAACCGCTCCCGAGCCGCCCTGACGGCCGCCTCCTTCTTCGCCTTCGCGGCCGCGGCCTCCCGTGCCTTGTCCGCCGCCTCCGCCGCGCTTTTCTCCTCGTCTGTTCTCTCATCCTGCCGCTGCTCTACCCCGCCGTCATCGCCAACGGAGGCGTCGCCGCCATCCGACGCCTCTCCCGCCAGGCGAGCCCGCTTCGCCACGTTGTCCACGGCCTCACCCGAATCGCCTCGTCGTCGGCCGCTCCGCTCAGAATCTCGCACCCCCGCCTCGTCTCTTCTGCTTTTCTTCTGTTCTCCGGCGCGGGGGTCGACCATCCTAGCCGTGGGGCCGCCGGACTCGTCGGTTCTCCCCGGGCTGCTGTCTGCGTCGCCCCCATCCCTACCCTCCCTACCCCCCTGGCTGGCGCCGTTCGCGGGGCCCCCTTCGCTGGCGGCGGCTGCGGCGGCCGCGGCCTCTTTTCTTCTGGCTGTTGCTGCTGCCTGTTCGTTTCCGTCCTGCATTTCGTATTCGTCGGTGGCCGCGTGCCGCTTGGAGCCCGCGGTGAAGGCGCTATTGGCGGACTTCTCGACGTCGCCGCCCATGGCGATGTTCTTGGTGATGAGGTTCGAGTAAAACCTGTACCATGGTACACCACGGAACAAGAAAACGAGCATAATGCGAGAGCAGGGGGGGGGAGGGGGGGGGATCCTTCGAGCGTGTTTTGGATGACCGCGTGCAAGTAAAACCTGATGCATGACCGCAGGAAAGAGTGCTTGTGCTTCATACCGGTGACAAGGGTATGGGTGACGGGGTTTTGTTGATCACAGGCACACCATGTTGATCACAGGCACACCAGGAGGGGGCCCTCGACCGGTTGTGGACAAGCCACCCCACGCGACCTTCAACCTAGCTCTGGTACGACCCACCATCATCATTCCAGGCGTCCAAACCAAGTCGCGCCCGATCCGTCCAGCAATCCCAACGTTACCATTTGAAAATGAACAGACAGCAATATTACAGCAGTAGTGTCATCCTGTCTTTCTATCGGCCCCAGAAGTAACGAGAGGACGAGAACATGCTAAATTGATGAGAAAAAACAGACGATTGACGCACCCGCCCATGCCCGTCTTGGTGACGTCGTTCCGCTGCTCCCTCTCGTCCTCCAGCTGCTGCTGGAGCTCCCACTTCTTCTGCTCCATGAGCTTCTTCTTGTACGCCGAGGTGACGAACTTCATCGTCGCCTCGCCTTCCAACTGCAACATATATAATATATTGGCATCACGGGAACGCGTAGGAGGCGCACATGAATGGTATTAGTCAGCAGCCGGGGCGGTATTTACGCGGGTGTTCAGCGCGAGTTTGGTGGATTGAAGTGCCAGGGACGCAACTTGTTGATTTTGCGCTGAGGGCGGCCGTTGCTGCAGTCGTAGATAGATATGGTACACCCGCAAGCTTGCCACCCGCATCTTCGTGCAGCATTGGCGGAGTCTGCCCCTCCCCCCCCCCCCCCCCCCCCCCCCTT